GACATGGCTAACTACAGGTTCTGCCTTGTCAGTGCTGCATTGATGATTGGTTGTCAGTTCCTACCATCACAAAATTTTTTAGTTACCGGCGGGGTAGGAATCCTTTCGTATATCCTAGGCAATAAGCTCCAATCGCTTTTATACCTTGTTGTCTCAACTGATCCCTCTCTGCTTTGACACACTTCACTATGACATCCCAATTGGTAAAAAATCCGATTTCCGATCAGCCTCTTTTATGACATACGGTCGAACATCATAATCATTAGTATCAAGGAATCTAGAGACAAGCACATGCACATTCATTGTACCTTTTACACAAACAATACATTGGATAAACATATAGGGAAACGTTTCACCACAAGTGACACGAGTTAGGGTTTCTAGGACATTATACTCTTCAGTCATCGCCTGGTTTCTGACTTATAGACTTGTCAAACAGAGGACCCAGAAGACTGGTTCCAAAACATTGCTTACAAGCCCGAGTCACTTCAAATAGACCCCTGCAAGAGGCCTCTCCTCTCGGGGTTCCTCTAGCCGGAAGTCTTTCAAACTCGAGCCAAGCCTTGAAAGAATTCTGCAAGACGGTTGTCTGGTCAATAAATATTGTGACCACAGTCTGCTCTTAGGAACTTAAGATTTTTGAGTCCTCGGCAACAGCGTCATTTTTGTCGCGCCGCCACCGCTTCCAGGGTCAGGTTCGATGTCCTTCCCCGGGCCGCATGTAGTGGGTTGGTGGATTGACAAGTTGTCATGCAGAATTTTTGGTAAGTATTTAAGAAATCCAAAATAAAAATGAATTTCGTAAATAGTCTTTTTCATTTTCAGTCATGCAGCCGAGTAGTCAAGGATATCCCTCCTGCCAGTGACCACACAACTTAGAGTAGGGCGTTCGAGTTTATCGCTTGCACCTGACCCCGTATAAAGGTTATATTTAAGGTCATCGGACTCCCAATTATCCTGGAGTCCTTCAAGTATCGTTGAGTGTAACCTGTGTAATATAAAGAGGAAAAAACATACATGCATCATAAAAGAAATGACACTGAAAGAATAAAAAGACCAGAAACCAAACTTCGCAAGAGCATGACCAGAGACACGAGACCGAAGAGTAGTACACAGGTAATGCAAGGAGCGACGATTGGAGGGCTGCAGTCACTGATAAACTATAATAATGTCATAATACATCACAACGAAGAAGGAAATAATCTTTGTCAATAATGATAAGTAGTACCCCCTTGTGAGCAGGTCCTACTGTCCGGGACAGTCACTCCACATTTCGTACAGCCTGGTTTTCCTCATCATTAAGCACCTAGGTTGCTATCGCCTCTTGGACCACCTAGTTGACGTCAAAAGATGCTGCGGGATCGATCTTGCAGATATATGTCATGCACCTAACCATCTCCTTGTCTGCAACGCTTTTGAGGTAGAGCTCCTCTGCGAGCATAATATCACCCGAAATTCCAATCTGTATCTCGATCCGTCCCCTCCTGTCAATCTAGACATATGATACCTTGAGGAAACGGTCTTCATAAAAGAGCTTTCGAAAAATCTGCATAGCGAAGTTAGCTCCGACCAAATTTTTACTGTAGCCATTTCCAAGATATGGGATTGACCCTATCCCTCTTGGGGGTCAGACAACTGCCTCTATCCTAGGCTCGTGTGACATATAGGATTTAATCTCTCTTGATCAGATACCGTGCAAGAAGATACATAATCGAAGTCAATGTCGCTCTCCGTCCTCGCTGCTTACCGATGTCCAGTTCTTAAGTTATCACCAACAGACTTTGTCTTTGTGGGTCTCCCAATCGAAATATCATCAAGATCGATGCCGCTTACGATGCAATGATTATGGTCAGACTCATCACTCCGCATACAAGTTCTGATCGGGACCCCAAATCTGATTATCTCTCTCCTGATCCGCTCATCCTTCTGCCTCTTCCCTTTGTTGCGCGCCTCGTTGAGGAGTTTGGGATTACACCCATCAAAATGAAAGAGTACACCTCCGGGCATTGAGGGTACATAAGGAAACATCACGTGCAGCCAATTATCCCTCCGATAGCTCTCCCTGCAAAATATGTAATATGCACTCTTGTCATAAGTGGTGTCCTTCACTCCATCCTTCCTTGCCCCCTTTACCGAGTAGGTAATCACCAGCGGTGGTTTCGAAGTAGGAGAGTCATTGGCCCAGATGACTAAGCTTTGAAGTCCAACATGTCGATAGCAAAACTTCTCAACAAGTTTGCCCCATGTAACGACTGTCTCACGATGACGGGTCAGCTTGGACAACGACAGCACCCCTTGCGAGAATAAATGTTCCCTCCAACGTTTCGGCCCGACGACAATCAACAACTCAATGTAAGAGTCCGCTTGAGTGGGCCCAACTAAACAACAATTATCTCAAAGAATGCGCCCGCCTGAAGGTTAAACAACTGCAATCTCAAGGAATGGGCCCACCTGAAAGGGCCCAATTGAACAACAACAATCTCAAGGGCCCAGCTCAACAGCAGGAACCTCAAAGAATTGGCCTGCGTGAAAGGGCCACGCTAAACGGCAACCATTAACCCAATATAGGCAATATCGTGAATGCATCTCCGCAGCAAGTGAAAAAACAATACGAGCACTGAGATAGCGGATGACTAATCAGCAAGATATCGCATACCCCATATACTGACTAGACTTCGCAAAGTCGCTTGAGCACGAACGGACCTGCAAATAATGTATGTACATGACAAATACCGTCTGCACACGAGCTGAACTCCAAATCCTCTTTGTGCAAGAAAAATACCGTCTCAACAGGGGCTGAACTACAAATAATGTCTTTGCAGGAAAAATAGCATTGGCACAGGAGCTGAACTGCAAACACTGTTTGTGATGGAAAAATAATATATGCACATGGGTTGTACATCAAATACAGTGTCGGGCGGCTCCAGCCTTACACCTTCCTTTACTTCCTTGAAGATAACTCTTGAGGAGAGCTGGATTCAGTCGCCTTACCCAGCGGGATGGCAGACGACTTCAAAAAGATACCGTATCAGATTCACGCGACAAGTGTCGAGGCCGAGACATCGAGAAGAAGTGGGCCCATGATTCTGAGTGAGCGTCCCTTTATGCGCCATTGAGGCATATCGATGACAAGACACAAAGGAATGACTACTACAAACGAAGTGTCGGGGGCTCCAAATGAAGGACGAGAACGAGAGGGTCAGACTCACGCTAAGAGCCGAACAGTGGACGAAACAATGTAGGGCACCGGATCTTGGAACGAGCCTTCGGGTGGACTAAGCAATAGTAAACACCAAAATTCAGCATGGGATCGAAATCGGTGAATAACACTAGATGGGCGCGCTCAGGGTCATCGTATTTGGGCAGTATGTGAGGCCTAAAGAGGGCAGCGGGCCAAAGGCTGGGAGAAGGACCTTTGGGCCATGGAATTACTAATTTTGGGTTTGGGCCCTACGGAATCCTATAAGGCGGGTACCTTTTAAGTAGGGACCACTGGAGGACAGGCCCGGACCTAGGTTCGGAAGGAGGTTCAGTACTAGGGCACTGCAAAAGGCCCTGTACCCGACCAAAAGGCCTCCTTCGCTGGAAACTCTTTGAGGGCCCAAACAGGCCCGGGTACAGGCCCGGGGGAGCCATAGCTCCGGGGCGCTGTAGCTTTGTCGGCGGCCCAGAGCACATGAAGGCGCTGGGGCACACCGAGAACTTGAAGAGGGCCGCAAAATATTTAAGCCCGACCAGGCTCAAGAGCAGGGGACTTCTCGCATGCGCACTTACAGACGCACTAGGAGAGCTCATGGGCGGAAGCTGGAGCTCGCACTCCGAGAGGCGCACGAGGTTTGCACATGTGTGCTAGCATACAAGGCAGCAGGAGTACTTCCGATAGGGGACTTACTTGCGCACAAACGGCCACACGAGGAGATCGGAGGAGCACGCTCCGGAAGAGGACATTGATGCGCTCCGGCGGAGGGGCACAGACAAGGCGCACACAGGAGCGCAACCACGCAACATGGCGCACACATGCACGCACAAGAAGACCTAACGGGGCGCGCGTAGAACTCTTGTTACGCTGACAAACCTTACAACTGCAGGCATACTCTACGCAGTCATTCTTCATCCCTGGCCAGGTATAMGCGCGCATCAGATTGGCTAAGGTCTTTTGCCAACCAAAATGACCCTCCGTGTCATGGCATTCTCCCAGGATCAGATTGCGGATCTCTTCGCTATTGGGGATGCACAATCGGTCAAAAACRTTAGTCTTCTAAAAAAGCAACCCTTCAGTAGTGCGGTAGTTTGGCTCGATCTCTGGGGCCTCTTTGACTTTCTTAAGGAGCTCACTATAGATAGGGTCCTGCGCGTAGGCTTCTCTAACCCTCTGCTGCAAATCCTTCCTTATATCGAGGTAATGTACTATTGCCCCAAAATAATCAGCTCTTCTACTCAGAGCATTCGCGACTACGTTGTACTTCCCTTTGACAGGCTTGAGCTCAAAGTCGTACTGATCTATCTCTGCGGCCCACCTAGTAAGCTTAGGTGTCATCTTGGCCTGCGTCTTTAACCATCGTAACGTTTCATGGTCAGAATAGACTTTGAAGTGTCTCCCCAAGCAAGTAGTGCTTCCAATGGTCTAAGGCTTGCCTGAGAGCGTAGAGTTCCCTCTCGTAGGTAGATGTCGCGACCTTCTCTGAAGGTATTCTAGCGGACATGAACTCTACGGGTCTATACCCATTGCCATCGTCTTGGTCGTGACGACAAAAGGCAAGGATGGATCGACGACTTTAAGGACTGGATACTCTATTAATGCCTGCTTTAACTTCTTCATGGCAGACGTGCAGTCCTTATCCCACTTCCAGATGGTATCCTTCCTCAACGATCTGCGAAGGGGCGCAACGATGGTGGAGAAGTTCCTCACGAACTTCCTGTAGTATTTAGCTAAGCCCAGGAACGCGCGTAACTCTGTCAGCGTACGTGGCGTGGGCCAATCTCTAATTATAGCGATCTTGCTATCCTCTGGCTTAACGCCGTCTCCGTCTAAGACATGGCCTCAATACAAAACTTGGGTCTTCGCCCAATCGCACTTCTTTGCATTGATCTTGAAGTTAGCTTTCCTCAGCTTCTCCAAGACCTGCCTGAGATGACCCTGGTGCTCTTCGAGGGTCCTACTAAACACAAGAATGTCATCTAGGTAAACTACGACAAATTTGTCTAACCACGGCCTAAACAAATCATTCATACAGTGCTGAAACGTAGCTGGCGCATTGGTTAGTCCAAAGGGCATCACTATAAACTTATAATGCCCGTACCTAGTCCGGAAAGCTGTCTTATACTGATCATCAGGATGCACCTCTATTTGATGATATCCAGACTTTAAATCTACCTTAGAGAAATACTTGGCCCCCTGCACTCGATCTAAGAGATCGTCTATCCTCGGCAGTGGCTCAACATTCTTCACTGTAATAGCATTCTGACCCCTATAGTCTATGCACATTCTCAACTCTCCCTCTTTCTTAGGAACAAAGAGAACAGGCGCTCCGAAAGGAGAAGAACTGGGCCTAATCCAACCCTTCTCGAGGAGCTCGTCTAACTGCTTACGAAGCTCCTCTAACTCCCGCGGGGACATCCTATACACGACGCCCTTAGGAGTCCTACTGCCAGGCTCTATCTCAATACGGTGCTGGATGGGCTGCGGTACCACTCCTATCGGCGGCTCAGTTAGGTCCTTGAACTCTTTCAGCAGCTTGGCAATCGCAGGGTCCATCGGTTTTTCTTCCGTAGGCTCAGTCAGTGGCCTCACATAGGCAACAAAGACCTGCTCATCCAATTTCTCCTTCTTCACTAATCTGGCGAACGCGGGGGCACTAAGGCAGCAATGCGCCAAGGAATTCTCTACCCCTGACACATGGAACAGGCGGGCAGTCTTAGCCTCGCCTGAGGAACTAGGGAGCCTACACTCGTGCTCCTTCAGATGGAGCGTCGCCCCGGCTGCCTCTCCCCAATCCATTCCCAAGACAATATCAAATGGGAGACTGTCTTCTACGAGGAGAGTCAGGGAGTGGAGAACCTTCTCCACTTTCCCCTCTTTCTCTAGGCGGAAATATGCCTGAACTCCCTCTACGTTATCCTCTACAACCATAGTGCGATTGTCCACGAGGATACTAACTATGGGGTCTGTCAGTTTCTGGACTTTAAGTCCCAGCCTCAACTTCTGCAGCGCTTTCTTACTAATATAGTTGCGGGTGGCCCCTGAATCTACTAGGGCCCCTACTCTACTTCTAAAAATCTCTGTATCTAGCAATATAAGCTGCCCTTTATTCTCCTTCTTCATCTTGGCCGAGGCGGGCATCCTCTCCTTCAATTCTTCGGCCACGCCTGTGAGGGAGGTGTCTAACAAAACTCTAGCACAAGCAGTTTCGGGACAGCTATCTAGACACCGGCCTTCAACCTCTGCCGTAGGCACATGTGGTGTGGGAGTCTCCTGCCGGCTAGCGCTATGTTCCCCACATGGCCTAGTGGTAGGGGCAGTTGCTACCCCTACCGGCGGCTGCCTTTTGGCCCTTGGGCAGCCGTTCGGGTCTCTCTGTACTTAGGACAATATTTGATGATGTGGCCCGGGTCCCCGTAGAAAATGCACTGGCCCCGGCCCAATCGTTGTTTCCATAAAGTCTGGTCCAAACCCAAAGATTCCCAAGGCCTACCCTGTGGTAGCCCCGGGTGCTATCCTCCTACCCTATAGGGAGACCTGTTCCTAGGACGGTTTTGCGGGGGACCTTGACCCCTGCCTCCCGCTTGGCGGTTTCCTCCTCTGCCGCCAACCCCCTGATCGCCCTGAAATCGGCTCCCTGAGGCCCGGCCCCCTTGGCCCTGGCCTCGTCCTCCTTGCGGCCTCCCTCCAGCCGCGACAGCAGCGTAAGTCCTCCCCTGGCCCACACCGCTGTCCTCCTCCTCTAACCCCCACTCAATCTGATCGTAGGGGATCTTATCCACACTACCCTCGTCTAAAGTCAGGACAAGGCTGTCCTTGGTCTTTACTTGCCCTGAGATAGTGCGGCGTTTCCATTGCTTTCCCTTGTCCAAGTCCTTGTGCCAGAAGGTGGACACATACGCGGACTTGGCTTCAAAAGCCACTACTTCCCGATTAAGAGAATCATACGTAGTGGCAGGGTCTTCGCTCTTTGCGAAGAAATGCCCTCGAAGGGCTTCGGCTATGGCCCGATAGAAGAGGCCGACCAACTGGGTGTCCGTAACCCCATGGTCAGGGACAGCCACTAACTCATCCATTGTATTCTTGCACTCTTCCACTTGCGGGCGTGGATCGTCTGCAGCCTATCTGACGCTTTAAAACTACGAGCGACATCAGCAAATCGCTCGCGCAGCAATTTCTGGAACTCAACGAGGGGGGTGAATGTGGAGTATGCTACCGGATCATCACTATAGTTGGCAGCACGAACAAGGGACCTTGCAAAACTCGCGGCCTCATCCTTAAGCCCGTGGATCGCAATTAGGACCTGTTGCAGATGCACGTAGCTCCTGACATTGGCCTCCCAATTGTCAAAGTTTTCTTCCCGTTTTCCACTGTAGGAATCAGGGAATTTGACTTTGACCGGCTCCCTGCGAGGTGGACGTGCCTCCTCCTCCTTGGGAGCTGCCACCTTGACGCCCTCAATGGCGCCGACGCAAAAACGCTCAGTCTTCTCGAGGCGGTGACTCACCTCAGTTCCCACAGCACCTACTAACTCGCGAGCAAAGTCCTGTAACCCCGATCGCATCGAACGCACAGATATCTCCTGACTGCGTCTAAACTCATAGTGCTTTTCCTGCACTTTGGCCAACCGCTCGACACTCTGGGCGATGATCTCCACCTTCCGCTCGAGATCTACCTGGGGTGTTAGTTGCAACCTCAACTTCTGCACCTCCTCCAACTCCTGTATTGCTGCATTTGCCGCCTCCACTCTTCTCTTCTTCTCCCTCATCATTGCGAGCTTCCACGCCATCCTCTGTTCATCCTCCATCGCCCGCCGTGCCAGAACATCTTCCTCTGCTTCCCATCTTCTCATGGACGCTTCTTGCTCATCCTTGGGGATGTACATAGCGACCTCTTCCTCTTCACCCAGGGACAAGTTGGCGACCCATTCTGAAATCCGCTTCTCCATCCCCTTATCTTTACTGCCACTGTACTGCCTCCTATTCCTTACTAGTGGCGTTTCATCTTCTTCTTCTTCTTCCACCTCCCTCATTTCTCCTCTTCTTCCTTTTTCAATCTTTCTTTCTCCCTGGTCATCTCTCCCTCAATTTTCTTCAACTTGGCCGCTTGCTCCTCCTTCAAGGCCTTCTTCTTGGCCTCCTTCTTCTCTTTTCTCTCCTGCAGGATAGCGGTCATCTTCTCCTCCTCCTCCTTCGTGTATGGCTGGGTGGCGGTATCACCTCGAGTGGGCTCTACTCTACACGCAAAGGTATGCCAAAACCCCAGAGGAAAGAGGAGACGCCAGAGGGTCCCCCAGAGGGAGAACCCAACCAGCAACCCATACATCGGGTATCCATCCATCGTGGTGTTGGTGCACGACAGGGGTCCCACTCCTCACCACGTAGACCTACCCGGATACACTGACCTACTGACTGACTTCCTAAGGACCACAGGATAAGAACCTATCAACTATGGTCACTACTAACCCAAGACTACTCTAAGGCTGCCACTACAGAACCAAGAGCTGATCAGGAGGCATTTAAGGAGATCCCCCAAACTCCGCAAGAATTCTTTAACGTCGCATACAGGACGACGCGATCAGCTTGGTTCCTCTCGCGATTTCAGCCCACAACTCAGCCGTTCAGGCCTACTGTGCCACACCGAGCAGCCCGCCGGTCTGTACCAGTCCTGGGAGGGGTTTGTCCCTCGGGACAGTCGAGTCGTCAGACACAGATCATCAACCCTAGTAGGTCCGGTAGGGGAGTGGCTCAACCAGGCCTCAGCACTTAAAGACGGCCTTCGTTTCAGCCCACAGCTCGGAGTTCAGACCCTCTACACTGAACTCAGTAGACCTGCCGGACAGTACCGGTCATTGGGCTAGACGAGTTGTTTAACGAGCGCTCGCCGCTCATGCCCAGGTCTCCAAGTGCCAGAGTAGAGCTTTGGTCCTACTAAGCCCGTGCAGGTTTGGCAGTAAGGCCCTATCCTTCATCCACAGAGTCCTAACACCTAGGGCAGAAGAGACTCAATGCAGAAAGAGTAGACAAACAGACTCAGCAAGTACCGTGGGGTAAGTGCACATCCACAGGGTAAGGGGATAGGCTGAGGGCTCAACGAGATATCACCAACTCCAGCTTGGTCAAAATCTTGGTCAGCAGCTCCGGTCAACACCTTGGTCAATGCTGAGTCGACACCCTTGGTCAACACCTCGTCAACCCTCTGGTCAACCCTTCGGTCAACGCCCCGGTCAGCGCCCGGTCAACCCTTCACCTCGACTATGGTTGCCGGCACCTTCACCTTCTTCACCCTCGCCGTCTACTTCCCCTTCCTTCACTTTCTTTCTCCTTCATTTTTTTTTATTTTTTTTTTTTAATTTTTTTTTTTCTTTATGTTCACCCTCGGCTATGTCCGCTTTCTTCTTCAATCTCCTCCTGCTACACTTCTCTCTCTCTCCACCTTAGTCCCTCCTCCTCAATCTTCCCTGTCTCTCTCCTCCGGATCACATTCCCGGGAAGTCAAACCGTTTTGCGGACGCCCTCTCACGGCGACTGCATCTTTGCACCGCAGTCTACCCTACCTTCGAGATCGACGACGACTTGCGGGAGAGCTTCATCCGCGGCTATCAAGCCGACCCCCACTTTCGCGACAAGTACGCGAATTGCTCCTCTCCGAATCCAGTGCCTTCGCATTATCGGATCCAGAAGGGCTACTTACTTGTGCATTCACGGGGTAAGGATCTTCTTTGTGTGCCAAACGATTCACACTTGCGCACACGGCTTCTTGGGGAGTTTCACGATGCGCCCGCCTCCGGACATTTTGGTGTCAACCGTACACTTGGCCGACTTTGTCAGCAGTTCTATTAGCCGGACCTTCTCAAGGACGCCACCCGCTATAGTGAGTCGTGGGAAGTCTTTCGGCGTTGCAAGTCACGCAACCATCGTTCGTTCGGCGAGGTACACCCATTACCAGTGCCCCTTGGACGACGGGAAGCAATTGGTATAGATATCACCGGCCCCTTCCCGAAACACAAGACTGGCGTTGATGGGATCCTCACGGTCGTCGACCGCCTCACCAAGTACGCCATGTTTTTGCCTTGCCGCTATCACGCAAAGGCACCGGAGTTAGCCGMGGTCTYATACACCGGTTGGATTCGCTCCAAGGGCTACCCCAAGGAGATCGTTTGCGAYCRGGACACTCGCTTTCTCTCCGACTTTTKGGTCGCCCTCGTCAAGCGATGGGGCTCATCTTTGAAGCCGAGTTCGGCTCGCCACCCGCAAACCGATGGTCAAACGGAAAGGACGCATCAGACCGCTCAAGTCCTTCTCCGCACTCTCATCCATCCCGACCAGGTTGATTGGGTTGCTCTCACACAGCTATGGTGCCTGGCAGGGTAGGCGCCTCGTCGAAAGAGTCAATGTCCACATGCTCAAACGTTGCATCCTACACAGCCGCTGTGACGGACCCTCCGGGATGGCGTCCGTCAGGATCAAGGAGAAGGGATGAGGATGGGAGAGATGGAGATGGAGCTGGAAGGGACAGCGCAACTCCGACGCAGACTCAACACGCACGTACTCCAAACTATGCGAATGAAGAATGACGAAAAACAGACAACAATTGGGGTATACCCCCAGCGGACTAACTGAATGCACTGGACTGGCCTGGTACCGACCGTGGTACTGGGCAGGAGGAGACTGGACTAAAATAGTGGACGGCCTGTGGGGTCAGGCCACGGCCTGGTCCCACAGGCCAAACCCATAAATAGCCAAATAAGTCTTGGCTGTAGGCTAGGGCAGATGAAGGCCCGCTGCACGATCCTCAGACCTGTAATAGATCGCAAGAGCCATAAACACGCTATCCGCAAAAGCAGCGGAACTCTGCAATAAAGAAAGCTGAGAAATCTAGGATGAGGAGCAAGCTCCATACTGAGTCCATGCGATGCAGCCTAAGCTACATAATGTCAAAAGAAAAGGAAATGTATGGTATGTATGTCCTAGCTAACAACAAAAAATGAAATGTAGCAATATATAATCTTAAAGTCCTAGAGGCAATTGCCTCAGTGCTGAAAGGAAAAAGAGCAATATGACACAAGATAATGTCCTGTCGTTGAACCACTRAGARTGGGATGGTCTYTGAGGGSGTGAATGCAGCCTAAGAATCGAAACTCCTWWGAGCAGTCGCACATGAAGGTGRGAAAGGTCATCAAGCTCAAGGTGGGAGAGTGGTAGCGAAACAAAACCAAGGACCCTAACAGATAGACCATCAGAGCGGGWWATGCTCGACAAAAGGATGACACCATGCAAGGTCGACCATAAAAAAGAGGGAGGCTCAGCCTGGAATAGGGTGGAGATATGCCTAACTGAAGGCATGCAAGGGTCGACACTAGGGTGATGAGGGCAGTGGGTGAGGGAAAACATGCACACAACTCACCGACTGGGGGAGGAGGGAGCTAGATCTCGGAGCAAGGAAGCCAAGAAAACGTTACGGTCCCAATACCTATGCGATACCAAAGAAGAACCCAACTCAGGGAGACCCAGCTAAGTGAGACCCATCATGCGACATATGCAAGGGGATATACAGGGTAGGGTGGTGGCCTGAAGTAGTCACGTCCAAAGTAGTTGAAGTCGATAAGATGGCTGAAGTCGAGAAGGTGAATGAAGTCGTCGAAGTGGTCGATAGCGTCGATGAAGTAGGAGTCGAGGTCGATGTCGAAGCAGAGCCGCAAAACGCTGACATCCTAAAAAAAAGTTGATGATGAAGTACCTGATGGTGTGAGTCAGTGGGGAAAAATGGAACATAAGAGTGTAAGTCATCGTACCGCGAAGGGCGACGATGAGTGCGTTGTGGACGCTCGGAGGCGACCGTCTGTGGCTGAGGAACAGCCTCAGAGGGAGCGGACTCGTCCTAAAAAATCTCCTCAGCCGGAGGAGGAGAAAGAGGGTCAGTCGGCTGAGCAGGGGAAGACATCTCAGCACGACGAGCATGATCATATGCACACACCAACATCCTGGCGTACTGCAAGTGCTCGAGGGGCTCCCTCCTCATCAGGATAACCCTTCCAATGCATAAGGTACTCGATGCGTGGAGGGATATTGTCGGGCACTCGGTGAGATACGATGTCCGCTGTGTCGTCCCCCGTACGTCGTATGGGGGGTCTCCGTACAGCCCGTGCGTTTGGACGTACGAATGCCCGTAGGGCCGTACGGACGACGACCGTACGAGGGTGATTTGGGGGTAAAAAAAAACCCAAAAAAAAAAAAAAAGGGGGGGTTGTAGATCTTGAAAAGATCTACAACCCAATATATATATATATATATTTTAACCTTTAGAAGGATTTTTAAAAAATCAAAAACAAAAGAGACGAGGAAAAAA